CTATAGCTTGAGGGTCTAGATACCCGGCTTTCACACTTGACATTTGTTTGACAATGTGCACTTGCATTCTATAAATCACGGCGTGGGTTAGTTACAACAAAATTCAAAGATTACATTCATATCATATCGGGAGGACAAGGACTTACAGGCACCACGTGCGAATTAGATTCATCTCCATTTCTCCCAGGTGAAAGCATGTGTGCATGTCATTGAAGTCAAAGACAATTTTCCTGGCTGGGCTTCCAAATGTTCCTATCTATTGAATCAAAGACTCATGCCATACTCCTCCCGACATCGACGGCTATATAAATCCAGTGGTTGCTGCATGAATTTAATCATAGAACTAGATAAGCTCTTTTGCATCGAATAAAATATATCGAACAAAGCTTTAAGTATAGAGTTAAACTTACTCGAAGTTCTATGGTAGCCATATAGTAGAGTGTTGTTGGAGAGTTTTGAAAGCCAAGGCAATGTATGCCACAACCTTAAGGGACTCTTCCCTTAGTTTCGCCGTATGGATGTGCTCTTTAAGAGTCTTTGCAGCAGCTAGCTCTTTGGCATCCAGTTTCCACTGTTTAGGGTAATTAAAATTTGTTTGGGCTATCGCTTGAGGGTCTAGATACCCGGCTTTCACACTTGGCATTTGTTTGATAATGTGCACTAGCATTCTACAAATCACGGCGTGGGTTAGTTACAACAAAATTCAAATATTACATTCATATCATATCGGGAGGACAAGGACTTACAGGCACCACGTGCGAATTAGATTCATCTCCATTTCTCTCAGGTGAAAGCATGTGTGCATGTCATTGAAATCAAAGACAATTTTCCTGGCTAGGCTTCCAAATGTGCTGGTGGAAAAGTATGCTTGTATGAGGTCTATGCTCGTTGGGAGAACACGCAAGTACCAATCATGGAACCTTCTCATTCCAAGTGGTAGGCGCTGGATGTCCCGGTTTGGTAGGAAGGGCTTGCCTCTTTTATATGTTTTCGGGCAATCCTTTGACCATTTGATGTCAACAACATTTAGATACTGCTTTGCAATTTGGTGGAGTTTGCTAGTGACAGCCTCCTCAGAACCCCGTGATGGGACTTTTTTAACTTGGTTCTTAGGCTTGAACTGGTCATGGGAATACCAATTGGACACCGACGAGACGTCTTTCATCTGAACATAAACTGGTCTTATGGTGATTGGATGCTTCTTTCGAAGTTCTCATTCAGGCACGTCCTCATCTTCTTGTGCATCACCTTCTTCAGGAGGCACTCGTTGTTCATGTATCAGCTGTGCTTGTTGAGAAGACTGTGGCATCTCATCTGCACTTGCTCGGTACGAGCTGGAGAAGGTTGTGGCATCTCATCAGGCACATGCTCGCTAGGAGGCGGGGAAGAATGTGGCATCTCAGGAATGTGGTGGTCACGAGACGGTGAAAATATCTCCCCGACCTCAACAACTTGCTCCAAATTTGGGAGAGGGGGAGGCCGTGAAGAAGCAGTTAATATAATGTCCCGTTTGTGCCAGAGTATGAACTGCCCCATAATGTCTCCAAGTAAAACCAGCCCCTCGGGAGTCGCGTAGTCTATCCTCCACTACATGAACTCGGGCTTCACGGTATGCACCTCGACCCTAATGTAGTCCGGCGGTATCTTATTATTGTGGTGTAAGCCACCGGGAGGATGTGCCACACCCGTTGCCACCTCCATCACAGTGTTCTGCCTGCTGCTGAGAAGCACCAAGGTGCAACTAGTTGGTTCCCGTATATGATCGACGAGGGTTGTGGCTGCAGTGGAACCTTGGCTGCTAGGAACTTTCGGAGGGCTGCCAACTAATGCCAGTTCTCCCAGCGGCGTCACTAATATCCATGGCTCCATAGACAGTCATTGCTCCTCCAGCGCCTTCGCAACTAGAGCCTTTACTTGGAGCTCAAGATTAGTCTCCCGGTATCTGCCATGTTTCTTATACATGTGCTTGTCCTCTTCGAATCCTTGCTTCTAGGTCATCCTTTTCCCTAGCCTCCTGGGGCGGCCTGTGTGCTCCTTGTTTCCCAAGCCAAGGCTAGGCTCGTCCCTCTCTCTGGAAGGATTAAATGAGCCCTTCTCCTTGTCTTCAGCATATTTCAGTATCCTTGATACTGCCTTTTGGGTCTTCGGCTTATCAAACTTAAGATTACTGCCAGATGATTCTGTACTCCTCGCATATATCTAATTCCTTGAGCGTACCTTCAAATTTGTCACATCAATATTCCCAGCAGCTGCGGCCTCTTCGTCCATCTTCCTAAACTGCTCTTCCTTAGCATAGTAGCCACCGGGGCCTAGATGATGGTGATGTTTGTTCCTCTTCGCCAGCTCGGTGTTACGGGCACTGAGCTCCAATGCCTCCGGTGAAGTCTTTTGAGCCATGAGCTCCTCCCATTGACTAGGAGTTATTTTGCCAAACTCGTTAAAGGGAGTTAACCCCTTTTGGATATACTTCATGTTGAGCTCCGACCTCCAACGTCGGAATGACTCTCCCATCATCCTAAAAACATTTTTTTTACCAATTCGTGCTTACCCTCCAGAAATCTAAAATTGAGCTTCAACTGTCTATCCCATAGTGCATTCTTTGTGTTCTCTGGTATCTCTTTCCAGTTAGGGATTGCTGGGTTTAATTTATCACTTACTAGGGCCCTGATCGCATTACGGAATTGTCCTCTTAATTCCTTTAGCTCAAGGATCTCCCCTGCTGGCCCGACCTTCGTTATCACATAGCATGCCTTATCTGGATATAGATTTCCTTTTCCATCCCCTCGTTTCCTCTTAGGCTTGGTAGTCGTGGTTGTGTCTTGAGGTTGTGGAGCAGAGGCATCGTTATCCATCTCTGTGGCCGTTGCCTCTGCTCTCCTTTCCTCTACTCCGTCTTGTCCAGCAAGATGTCATGGATGTCGACGTCGTGTTTTCTGAGTTTCAGGAGGGGTCTGTATATATGACAGGTCATAGTGTTAGCAGAGGTAACACAGCCAAAGCTTTAGCAAAATTTACAAGCTAAGGCATTTTCCCTACCTCCTCGTTTGGGTCAAAATCCTTGTCCAAATCTTCCTCTGTTGGCCTCCTTCTGGCTTCAAGTGGGAAAGGATCTTCGGGACTTACATATCCCTCTTCTGAGTCCTCATCATCATCATCAACTTCTTTGCCTTCAGCAGCCTCTCCTGCTCTTCCTTTTGCTCCCCCTTCCTCCTCGTCACACTACTCCTGAGTAAGCATCACTTCTAGATCCTTTTCTACCTCATTATCAAACTGTTACTGAGTAAGCTGGTCCTCTAGTGCTTGCTCCTCATAGGTTGGTTGCTCATCATGCTCGGGGCATCGGGCTACACTGTTTGGTGTCCGCGACATTATTTAGCGCTTTGTTCTAATAGATGCAAGAAAGTGTACTTTAGGTATACGAGAAGGTATAAGAAATCAAAAAGGTATATAAACCAAAGTAGTCCTATAAAACAACAATATATCAAAAAAACGAGAAGTAGCAGTAGTAGAGGCCTCAGAAATATGTCAATCATCATCTGATCTTAAACTTGGAGCATCAAGGCATCATAACAGAGAAGAGAGGAGAAGGTAATGTAGGGGCGGCTGCTAATGATGCCAAGTTCCTCACAAGTTCTTGATCATCAGCTCATATTCCATATAATGTATGGACTTAGACAATTTCATCATCGGCAAAACAAAGGAGAGGAGAGGGGATATTTGGCAAAAAAAAGCAACAGCTACTTAACAAACATAGAGAGGAAAAGGTGTAAAAAAAAGTAGCTACTGCTTCCCAAATATAGAGGATAGGAGTTGATTGTTGCCACATGGTTGGAAGACCCCTGCAGATCAAAATCTGGTAACTTAGATGTGGTAAACATAGAGCAGCAGCCACTTAGTAGTATAGGGAAGTGAGTAGAGTAGCAGCCAGCAGCTAGGGAAGAGAGTAGAGTAGCAGCCAGCTAGTAGTAGTAGGAGTAGCTAGCAGTAGCAAGTAGAGTAGTAGTAGTTCATTAGCAAGTAGAGTAGTAGTAGTTCGGTAGCAAGTAGAGTAGTAGTAGTTCAGTAGAGTAGAGTTAGAAGACCGCAAAAGAGGTAGAGACATAGTACAGAGTCAAAAAATGAGAGAGAAGAGTAAAAAAAATCAAGAAGCAAAGCAGAGTAGTTAAGTAGAGTCAACAGAGTGAGGTAGAGACATAGCACAGCATATGAGTTAAGTAGAGTCAAAAAATTCAGTAAGTAGTGGGCAAGCAAGCACAACAAGCAGCCACCACCTCGGCATTTTAAATTTGCAGAGAGTAGAAAAATGAGAGAAGAGCAATAGGAACAGCACTTAGTAGTACAGAGTAGAGAGAAGAGTAGCAGGAACAGCAAGCAGCTAGTAGGAGTAGGAGTAGCTAGCAGTAGCAAGTAGAGTAGTAGTAGTTCAGTAGAGTAGAGTAGAGTAGTAGTAGTTCAGTAGAGTAGTAGTAGTAGCCAGCAGCTAGCAGTATCAACACACATGCAAGTGAAATCAACTAATAAATAAATAAAACTACTTGCAACCTAAAAAGATGACCAAAATTTCTAGAAATACCAAAGCAATAAAGAACTAATAGTCCTAAAGTTTGCATGCTTATTATTCGCAGTCCAATGAGAAACAATAAGCTCAAAATCACAGAACTCATTTAGATGCAGTTATTCATGCCACTACCAATTCATGCCGATCTAGACAGAATTGCACAAGGAGGCCGACAACGACAAGATGAGGGGGCTAGTGCAGTGCTTAACTAGCTGGATGGGAAGAAAAGAGTCGCTGATAGGCCCATGTTTACATATTATGGTCATGTAATAGATGGGAAAAAAAGAGTCGTTGATAAGCCCAGAATATGTGAATATCACATATTATGGTCATGTAATAGATGGGAAAAAAAGAGTCGCTGATAAGCCCAGAATATGTGAATATCAGTCTTATTGGTGTCTTGAGTACTGATCAGTCTCAGACAGACAATGAGTTGTTGGAAATGGCCCAAAAGTGGAAAATTGTTGGTATGTTAAAACTTCATCAATCAACAATGTCCTTGAAAGAACTGACTTTCTTCTTTTTTATGCACACTTCAGTATCTATCTCGACTGATGAACCTAAATGACTGCATAGTGGTCAGCTTAGATATAATAGATTTCTTTTCCCAACATATTCCAGTGAGAACTAACTTTATATGTATTGAGCTGTTTATTCTTTTGCTTTTGATTTATTATGTTAATTGGATTGTAGAGCTGTCGTTCTGGTATCATAATCGTTTTGACCTTTGAAAGAACTAGATAGCAAGGATCTATCAGAGAATGTTGTAGATCAGTCCAAAGAGGTTGATATATTGAAACAAGCAGAAGCAGAGGGTTGCCAGGTGTTAATGGAGAAAGACATGGAGAATACTAGTGATGCTTTTGTACTAAAACAGACAGAAGATGGACACAGAAAATCATTGATAGAGACAGGTATAAATAGCCATAATGAAACTACTCTAGTCGAGCAGTTGGATGGACAAAGCGAGAGACTTAAGAGGACAGGTACTGAGGAAATTCATGGAGAAACCATTGAAGCACAAGAAAAGGAGTTTTATAAGGATGTGGCAGAAGATTCAAATAACTCAACCAATGATAAGGATGTGGTAGAAGACTCAAATAATTTAATCAATGCTGAGATGCCATGTAGTTCAGCTACTGTACAGTTAAAAGAAGATAAGATGGAAGTTTTTCATGAAGGCAGGATTGAGGAGCCATGTGTTCAGGATGTTGATCTGATTAATCGGAGGGAACCATCATCTGATGCAACTGCTATGGAGATTGAGGTAGTATCTAACCACAAGATCTTTTTGAATATGCATGAGGTGTGCTTGCAGATGTCTGTACTTCTGTTAACTGTTAATTAATCTGACCATGCTTTTTTGCAGGCAGTGGCTCTGGAACAGGACAACAGAATCATACACAAGAACATGGAGGCAACAACAGTGGAAGGCAGCCACACGCTGGATAGTGGACTAAATTCTGATCTAGCCAATGTTAATGAAACTCATGCTGCATGGGAAATTAAAAACCAGGAAATTTTGGACGTGGACATGGTGAGCATGGCTGCAGAATATATGCCTTGATCACCTTCTCTAATTGCTATAATTTTGTTGAGACCACAGCTTATCTAAATCATGATGTTTGGTTGTTTGCAGCAAGTAGCAATGGATGAAAGACAAGATCTACAAGCTATAACTGGAAATGACAAAAGGAATATGTCAGAAGATACAGGCACGAGTGTTTGTGGTGAATATCAAATTAACTCAACTGGTATGGAGGATGTCAAGTCTACCAAAGGATTACAGAACCAAGAATGTTTGGACCAGAAAGAAGTGAGTGTGCCTGCAAATTTTTTTTTGTTTGGTAACCTTATCTGATTCCTGAAAAATGGTTGTTTGCAGCAACTAGCAAGGGAGGAAAGACACAATTTAGGAACTACAACTGAAAATAACAAAATGAATATGTTAGAAGATGCAGACGTTCTTGTCTGCGGGCAATGTCAAAATGGTTTAACTCATACCAAGGTCAAGCCTACCAAAGGAATACAAAACCAAGAACTTTTGAATAACAAAGAAGTGAGTCCACCTATAATATAACTGTTTTGTTTGATTTGCCCTATCTTTTCTATTTTTATGCTCCTTCTGTCCCAAAGAGTATCATTCTAGTCTTCTAGATTTGTCCTTAGTCAAAGTAACTTAATTTTGACCAAGTTTATAGAGAAGATTATCAATATTCATGAGACCAAATATGTATACTAAGAAAAGATATTTCATGATGAATCTAATGGTCAACCAAAATTTTCCATGACGGCCAAAGTAGTCAATGAAAGTACCCAAAACCATCACGGATGGTCTTCCCTGATGGTAACTGTCAGAGATAAGACAGATAGACTGACCAGGAAAGCCGATGTTTGCTGATCGACGCCGGTGGAGGGGGCGCGGAGGTCGGTGGAGGTGCGCGGATGCCGGTGGAGGGGGCGTGGGTGAGGGTGGAGGGGGCGCGGACGCTGGTGGAGGAGCGCGGATGCTGGTGGAGGGGGCGTGGGTGCGGGGAGGGGGCGCGGGCGTCGGGACAGGTCCGGGAGGCGACGGCGGCGGGGCAGCCACGGCGTCGGAGGAAGAAGAGAGCGTCCAACGGGCTAACACCCGTGCGCCCTTGTATTTATACTTGGGACGATTTCTAGGGGCGGTTCCTGATCCATCCGCCCCTACAAATGCATTTGTAGGGGCGGTTTCTGATCCAACCGCCCCTACAAATATTTTCTATTTTTTTAAATAATTATTTCTGTATTTTTATATCATAAAAACACAAAGTAATATAAAAACAATTGTGTATATGCACAAATATAATATTTTTAATTGTTCTATATATGAAGAAATATATATAAAAACAATTGTAGTCAAAACAACATAGAAAACAAAAAAAAACAAAAATTAAAAATTTGAATTTTAAAACTTCGACTACAATTTTATGACATTAAATGAAATAAAATAAAAATGTTGTAAACATAAAAGTTGTATAACTCATCAACATGTACAACTTTTATTTTGGTCATCTTGTCATGTGACTTTGTTTGGATGATTCAAATTTTGAAATTCAAACAAAATTTCAACTTGAAACAATATTTTGAAAGAGTAAATGATTTCAGATGAAAGACTCATGAATATTAAAGTTGTAGAACTCATCAATATCTATAACTTTTATTTTGATCATATTTTCATTTAACCAAATTTGAACAGTTGAAATTTTGAATTTCAATAAATGGCAACTTCAAACAAGATTTTAAAACCTTAAATGATTTCAACAATAAATGTCATGAACATAAAAGTTGTTGAACTCATCACTATCTACAACTTTTATTTTGGTCACTTCTTCATGTGACAAAGTATTAGTAAACATTATTCATAAATTTACATATAACTCATAGTTTCATGAATTATACGAGAAATATGTTGATTTGTGAACAATGTTTACTATCATTTTGTCAGATGAAGAAATGATCAAAATAAAAGTTGTAGATCTTGATGAGTTATACAACTTTTGTATTCATCACTTTTTCAGCTGAAATCATGTAATGGATGAAAATCTCGTTCGAACTTGTCATTTTTTTAATTTGAAAATTTGAAGTGCTCAAACTTTGTCACATGAAAAGAATGACCAAATCAACACACTAACTTGATAGGGCAAGATTTTAGAAAATTTTAGGAAAAAAATCATCACATTTGGAGTTAGTATGAGGAAGAAAGACTAGTTACAAATTTTACCCAAAGATTAAAAAGAAAAATCACAACTGCTCATGATGATCAATGATGAACAAGTGTGATTTCTCTTTTTAATATGTGGCTGAAACTTGTAACTATTTTTTCTCCCTCATACTAGCTCCAAATGTGATGGTTCTTTTCCTAAAATTTTCTAACATCATGCTCTATCATTTTAGTTTAGTCATCTATCTTTGTCACTAATTTTGAACAATTCAAATTTTAAATTTTAGAAAATGATAGCTTCAAACCTGATTTTTAAACACTAAATGATTTCAGCTGTAAAGGTGATGAATATAAAAGTTGTATAACTCGTCAAGATCTCCTACTTTTATTTTGGTCATTTCTTCATTTCATAAAGTGTTAAGTAATTTCATAAAGTTTTAGTAGTAATAGAGTGGATGTTCAAATAAAGTCATCTGGATGTTGCAAAGGGTAGTCTCACACACATGCATAAATGTAGTCTCACACACATACAAAAATATATAGTCTTACACGTACATAAATATATAGTCTCACACGCATGCATAAATGAAGTCTTACAAACACACACTTACACAAACACTTCACGTTCAACAACTAGCTAGCCTGTTGTAACGACTTTCCCCTTGACACCTTTTTGTTCCCATGGCAATATGTCTTTGGGGAGGTTCTTTTCCACAACACTGATCTTCTTAGGAAAGTCTATGAATAGCGGCATCTCATCGTAGTTATTGTAAGCTTCAACATCATCCACGCCATCAACTCCAATAATATGTTGTTTTCCGGAGGCAACCACGTGTTTTGTCTTCTTCTTCGGGGGGGTTACTTTGTGGGTCAAACATATAGAAAACTTGTGCGACATATGAAGCGAGCACCCAAGGGTCATCTTGGTAGCCTAGATTCTCAAGGTCCAGGACTCTCAATCCGATCTCATTCAGTTGGTGTTGTTTGATCCAGCGGCATCGAAACAAGGCCACCATTATATCCCTTCCATAGTCAAGTTCCCATATCTCTTTAATTATGCCAAAGTATTGAATCTTTCTCCCCAATCCATTGAGAGCCTCTATTCAAACGCCGCTGTTTTGGTTCACATATTTACTATCCTTTGCGTGGGTATAGTACGTATACCCATTGATGTCATAAGCATTCTAAGATGTCACTTGTCTCGATGGCCCCTCCACCAACCTACCGATGGTAATAGAGTCTATGGTTTCTCCAGGCGGTATGTTTTGGTCCTTCAACCATCTAGTTAGTCATTGCCTGTGTTGTTTCATGACCCAATCATTCGAATGGCCATTTCTCTCCGCCATAATGATAGCCAAGTGTTCATCAATGTACGGTTGCATCAGTTGTGTACTCTGCAAGACACTGTAATGCGCCCGACTCACCTCTTTGTAATCATGGTCGATGAACACTTTTCTACCACTGGTGCCCTTCCCAGCCAGCCTACCCTTGTGACAAGAATTGGGTTTACCAATCCCTTTCTATACTTTTAGGTACTCTTGACAGCACTCGACGACTTCTTCAGTACTGTAACTCTCTATCATGGAGCCCTCTGGGTATGCTCGATTATGCACGTATCGACTTAGAACCGACATGAACCGCTCGTAGGACCACATTTCATGCAAGTAGCAAGGGCCCAGCACCTGTATCTGATGAACCATGTGAATCATGAGATGTGGCATTATATAAAAAAACAGGAGGTAAACACATCTCTAGTTGGTTTTGTGTCTCCACCACAAATTCATGTAGGTCACTCATCTCTTGCTTGCCAATCGTCTTCTGTGAGATCTTCAAAAAGAAGTAGCACATGCGGGTGATGGCCATTTTCAAGAACTCTGGCTTTATAGCCCTGATTGCAATAGGTAGAAACACTGTCAGCATCACATGGCAATCGTGTGCCTTGTAGTGTGTTATTGACAAGTCCTTCATCGACACTAGCTTCTTCACATTTGCTGAAAACCCAGTTGGGACTTTGACCCCCCTCAGGAAAGTGCATATAGCTCTCTTCTCATCTGGTGTTAGGTTGAAGCATGCCGCGGGCAGAGTGTATTTTCCATTAGCCTCAGGTACCGGGTGAAGCTGTGGCATCATGTTTAGCTGCACCATGTCTTTCTGTGCTTTCAGACCATCCTTTGACTTGCCTGTGTCCATCAAGGTAGCAATGAGACTCTCAAAGACATTCTTCTGCACGTGCATAGCATCAATGGCATGGGGGACCTCCAAGTCTGGCCAATAAGGCAGATATTGAAAGAAGATTGATTGTTTCTTAAATGGTACGCCTTCGACAGGAGGTGTGCTTCTATCTCTGTTAGTCCCATCCGGATTCTTCTTTTCATAGATGACGCATATGTTTTTCACCATTCTGTACACGTGTTCTCCGTTATGACGTCTCTCTAGAGGGGGTTCAATCTCCGAGGCGTTGTCATAAAATCTAAAGAACAATTTGCTGTGGTACTTGTGACTTGTCTTTAAGAAGCGTCGGTTCCTTTGGTAAACTATCTTCTTGGATGCATCTAGGTACACCCATGTAGTACCATCCAAGCAAACCTAGCATCCCGTCTTCCCTTTGATATTTCCAGACAAAGCAAACAGCGTGGGGTAATCATTGGTAGTAACAAATATTATTGCTCTACATATGAAGTCCTCCTTTCGGAATGCATCGTAGATCTGCTCCCCATGCCATCTACTCCCTATGCCTCCATAGCCTCTCCATTTCTTGCATCAAAGGCTCGAGGAACACGTCTCTTCTGACACAACCATGTTCGGATGTTCTACATGGTCAAGATCATTGGCCAAGTGTTGTGGTCGCTCATCCTCTCATTGAAGGGATTCATTCCATCGGTGCTCAAGCCAAACCATACATTCCTTGGGTCATCGCTGAATTCTTTGTGCTTCTCATCGAACCTTTGCCACTGACTACAATCAGCCGGGTGTGCAATCTTATCATCATCCACCTTGCGCTCATCATCCCACCATGTCATGAGTGCGGCTTCTTTAGGGTTTAGGAAGATACATCTCAAGCGGTCGGTCGCTGGCAGGTACCACATTACCAAGGCAGGAATTCTTCTCTGCTTTGCATCATTGCCTAATGGAGTGTCCTCTGGGGGCTTAGATTCTTGTACCACCTTTTGTGTACCCTTCTTATTCCTCTTTTTCTCCGTGGAGGCTTCGTCCCCACCGTAAAGGTCATTGTTCTTGTACCGGCTGGCCCCACACTAGGGACATTTATCCAGTGACTTGAACGTTTTGCCACAAAAAAGTATACAGTGGTTGGGGCGTGCATGGATTTTTTCAACCCCCATTGTCAATGGACTTATGACCTTCTTCGCTTGGTATGTGTTGGCGGGAACTGA